CAAACGTTGTTTTACCATATAAATTATTTCTAGAAAAGATAAATAACGTAGATACCGACTTCAGCGCCATCTGCCGGGCTGATTTGTAAATCTAAACCATTCTCGAATCCATCTGAAGGTACACAGAAAGTTTCATTAAAATCGGTCGAGCCGCTTAGGAGGAGTTCAGTGACTAACACACGCACAGAAGAAATATATATTTAAAGAAATTATTCCTTCACCGTGGAAGTCAATCGAGAAAAGCACAATGCCCATTTTCTTAGGGCGTTTGGGCCCCTAAAAAAAGTTGTCTTGTCATGATGGTTTTAACTTAATTTGATAGACAAAGAAATATCGTTTCATATTCAGAAAACGATTTTTATATTCTCACCCAGGTTTAAGAGAAATCTGTTTTTTTCTGCAGCTAAAATTAAGTTGCTAATTGCTTTCTTCGAAATCAATAATCACTCTCATCATTATTTACAGTATTAAATAAGTTAATTGTGGTTAATGTTGCTAGAAATAAGCCCTTACGTACATTTTATTATTATTATATCCTCATAATAATAATAAAAGAAATGAAAATCCGGAAGCCGGCAACGATATTGTTGTTGTTGTTGTTTTTAAATTCGCCAATAAGCAGGCAAACAGCGTAGCCTATACAGCCTAGTCTGTCGTAGTTATATATATAATTTTTTTTCAATAAAAAGCTGGTTTATCTTTTTTTATTGCTTTTTGGGAATTTTGACGTCAACTCGATGAATAGCACATTGAGTGAGCGTGAATTTCCGCAGACCTTTTATCTTGAAAAAACAAACAACGATTATTGACGTTTAATACACAAAACAACACCCAATTTTATATTATATATCACAATAAACTATTAAAAAAACATTAAAATAAAACTTCAAGTGACGCTTCACTCGGGTTGCTGCCAAAACTCTCTGATCATATATAATAAGAATAGACTAATGGTAGGCCATTGAGATTTTTACTAATGGAATCAATAATATCTAAAAATATTAAATAATTCATGGTTTTAAGTAATAATTATTATTAAAATTTATAAATATTGAATTGAACAAAAACAAACTAAAAAGTTTGTGAATTATAATTTAGCTATTTTTTATTTATTTGTTGTTCAAGTCACAGACAACTCTTTCGTTTGGCAGCTTAAAGGTTTACCATAAGGCTTTATGGGCTAAGCCCTTTGCCTATTGGCGAATTTAAAAACTATGGCACTCAGTTTTGGGATGTTATCAAATAAGTAATTTTTTTTTTGCAAAACAATGCCATGTTGAAAGAAATGTTGATACATAAACTAAACAACGTGAAAAAATAAGGCATAGTTTTTCAAGTACAAATAGTTTTGACATAAAGTTGGCCCACTTTTGGGCATTGTTCTTTGTTAAGTACGTATTTCATTAGATAAATCGGTACCCGCCTGCGTTATTCGAACACCGTTGCATCGCTACATACGAATGCACCGGACGTCTTATCCTTTAGACCTCGACGACTTAAGAAATGTTCAAAAAATTAAATAGATAAATGATGAAATGTATATGTATTATTAATTTTATTAGTACACAGTCTAGCTATAAGTTACTTATATACCTAGTCAGGTCATAAATTCTGTCACATGTTTAATGTAAAATAATTGAAACAAGTTTATTCATTATGTAACCATTCATATACCAAAATGAACTTAACAAAACATAGATTCTTATGACACTAAAGTTTATTCAAAATGACCTCCGTGATTTTGAATACAGGCCTTCAATCTGCGCGGCCAGTCGTCTATCGCAGCACGAACGAGGTCCATGTCAATATCGGCGGCTGCCTTAATCAAGGATGTCTTGAGTGACTCCAAATTGGGGTGAGGCTTTGAGCACGCCTTTTCCTCCAAGTGTTGCCATATCTTGTAATCTAACGGATTCAAATCTGGACTGGAGGAGGGCCAGTCTTCGTGCCGGATGAAGTCGATTTCACGCGC